TTCTTCTAGCTATGGAACACTGACCACAGAAAAGAATTAGTTGTACCAGCTTTGAAACGATCATTAGAGCTTTTAAATCTGGAATATGTAGATCTATATTTGGTCCATTGGCCAATGGCTCTCAAGGTATTTGCTGTTTATAAATATATTTTTTCATATCAATTTAATTTGTTAATATGACATTGGTAAGATGAAATGGACAGGTTTCCGAAGTTGAAGATTGTGTAGTGATCATATTTTTATGTTAAGTAAACTGGTGCAGATGCGGATAGTATATTATCCCAAAGCTAACCGAACATTTGTTGACCGCCAGAAAGTATACAAAATATTCCTTTAATAAAACTTTGGGTAATAGTCAAACAAAATAGATAACAGTCAACACTTTCTGAAGTTATGGCTGTATACTTAAGAACACTAAGTGGAGCATAATAATTTTATTTTGATCTTTAATTTTTTTCAGGAGGGTTTTGGATTATCTCCTAAAGATGAGAATGGTAAAACCCTATTTGGCGATGTTAGCTATATTGATACATGGAAGGGCATGGAGGATTGTGTCAAATTAGGTTTAGCGAAATCAATTGGATTGTCTAATTTTAATCATAAGCAAATACAGAAAATTATAGACATTGCAGAAATCAAACCAGTGAACAATCAGGTATATTATTTTTCTATTTCTATTTATTTAAATATAAAATTTGTATTATGAGCAATAGTAGTTTGATTTTACATTGAATTATTTCCTCACTAATTTTATAAGCTATATTCATTTAAACCAGCCAGCAAATTGGGAAGGCAAAGAGGTATTATTATCGGTTCACATTAAACATCTGAGAAGCTCAGCCATTTTCTCCTGAACAAAATTTCTTCCCTATAAATATCTCATGATATTTATTTTTACTATCAGATTAATAGATAAAAGGTATGGACCCTCACATGCACAGATGAAATTCTTGTCTTTTAACGTGAAATTCATAACATATTTGGATCAGTTAGTTTGGTAAGAACTGGCAAAGGAGGAAGAATAGAGAAGTCTAAAATATTTCTGGATATATTGATGTGAAGAAGCGCATAAATGCTGGAAGTCATTGAGCTGGACACATGGCCAGAAAGTGGAATGTCAAAAACTTGATGGATGGAAGGTTTTATTGTTTAGTTTCCTTCAGAATTTCTAGATCTAGATGGTCAGTGTCTATCAGGAATATTGCACTTAAAACAGTACTTCTTTTAATTTCACTTACTTGTATATGTAAAATATAATAAAGGAATGTATTGCAATCGAGAAAGTTTTCGAATCTGAGTTTTCAACAGACATACATGTTTTGAGGTCCCCTGAGTTCAAATAACCAAGTTCCACAAAATGGTTTGTGTCTATGTGAATAGTCTAGCTCAAATACGGAAAGCCGTACGAAACTGATATTATGTATTTAAGATAGGTATATGGCTGAAATGTTACAGCAACTTTTTCCTGTGAATCGGATAACCAACCAGAAGTGGCACTTTATATCATCAATTTTCCATGTTTTTACAATTTTCTCCAAAATGACTAAAATATTTTTTTAAACACAGTAATTGAATGGTTTTCAATATCAGATAGGTTTTATCCCCATTGATGTTGCCTAACAGGACTTCAATATCCAATTTTCAATATTTCTTCCTCTAAAGTACCTTTAATTTGATTCCTTTTTAATAATCAACTATCCCTCATTGTTATCAGTAAGAATAAACATCTAAATATAAACTATGAAAGAATTTGATACATGACTAAAGGAGAAAAAGGAAAAATGTATTTTTAGGTTGAAAATAAATTTCTAGAAATAATAGTCAGATAGAATAATTATAATGTATTGTTGGAAAGCTGAGAATTTTTGAAAAAAACAATATCTAATATACATTCGTAAAAGGTAATAGAGAGCAATTAAAAAATTATAAATAATGATTTGTGGAAACTAATATTATTTAACGGAAACCACATGTTTCCTATAAAATCAAATGAAATTTCCAAATTAAATGTAAACTTTTAAAATTATTTTTAAGTTTGAAATTTTTTTTTATAATATTCACCGAATCAAGGCAATGTCATTTTCATTGTACTTTTGTGAAAGAATGAGTGAAATATAAACGTATTGCATAGATTAGTAAGACATATGTTTACAACCTTCAATACATTTATATAATTTAATATCTCTAGATCTGATAAAATATTTAAATAATTAGATGCCTATCGACGGTTAATTTAGAAAAATCATCATGTAACATTTTAGAAAATTAAATTAGTCAATAATTTCAGATATGTTCCCTCTGTGAAATCACAACATCATCCACTTACAATTAGTGTGACAACTTTTGACCTATCGATGGTAGGCAATGAATATCTCGTAACTCCATTTTAGTAAAATTTAAAATGGAAAAATAAGAGTTTAAGAACTAATGGTACAATCCATAATAATTTATATGTAGGTTAAAGATACAGATATACTTTCAAATCTCTCTGGGCATACATAGCTCAGAGACTGAAGGTATGTGGTTTACAAAAACAAATGGAGTTACGAGGTTTTCCTTGCCTATGGTCAATATAATAAATAGAGTTTATGATATTTAATTAGCCTTAATGAGTTGTTACAGATCTGTAAGGTTTAAGGTTTAGCTCTGTTAAAAATACATTTAAAAAACTTTGTAATAGCCCCAAGATTTCAGTATTTTTTTTAATAATTGATTTATATTTAATTTTGGATTTTCAGGATAATGTGTATACTTTTACTAATTATAATGAAAATCCCAAATCGTAATATTATCTATAAAGCACACTATTGATCATTTGTACACTCTGTTTAGTTCGAGTGTCATCCGTACTTCAATCAGTCCAAGTTGATTGAATTTTGTTTTAAACATAATATAACAGTAACTGCTTTTGGACCTCTTGGATTGCCCTATCGACCTTTGAGACCCGGTACCACGACTTTGCTAGAAGATCCAATTCTGAAAAATGTATCGGAAAAGTACAAAAAAAGCCCTGCTCAGATATTGATTAAGTACCAGGTAATGATTTGGATTTTTTTTGTCTTCTACAGTAATATTTATAAGTGTCATAATTGCCTGTTGTGGATTTAATAATAATCATTGATGAAATTAGACTTTTATATAATGGATTAATTCAATCAAATCACATTAACAAAAACTATGTAGCGTTTAAAGCTTTAAACTTTAAAAGGTAACTACAAGATGGAAATAGAATTTTATTAAAGATCAATCGAAAACTATATCATTAAAAATATTCCTCTCTCTCTTTCAATTTTACATTATTTAATCAACAGATCTAATAAATTTAATTGTTTTTACATTTTCTAGATACAACGAAATGTTGTAGTTATCCCGAAAAGTGTTACCAAATCTAGGATATCTAGTAACATTGACATTTTTGACTTCACGATTTCACCAGGAGATATGGAACTATTAAATAGTTTAAATAAACCTGATGGTAGATACATTCTTCTAGATGAGTAAGTTATTTACATGAAAGTTATTATTTTAAAGCACTATTTTGATTCATGCAGTGATTCTTGTTTTTCTGTTACAGCTATAAAGAGCATCCAGATTATCCTTTCAATGAAGAGTTCTAATATTTTTTTAACTTATTATCATAATTAAAACTAATGAAATACAGTTAATTTTTGTTTTTAGAAATAAAAGTTTAATCTAACCTAAATTGTATTTGTTTACATTTTTCAAATTATACTTTTTTCCTTGATTAAATTTTCCTGTTTAAATGAAGAGCACTATATGACAAGCCAGATAAGCTAAATCTCGAAAAAATTCTATAAAATAACAGAGTGATTAGTCATGTACACTTCACCTTCTTCATGCAATCTTTATATATATATCTGTAGTGTTTCAACCAGCAACAGATTTTACTTAATTTTTTTTAGCCATTTTGGTCTGCATGCCACTATCTAGATATTTAGGTGCATATAATAAATTGATAACACGATAACATTAAAAAGGATGTCTGATACAAACTATAAATCGATCTAGTGTATCACAGCAGGGAGAGTCTGTAGAATCCCGCCTGGCTTATCAATATTAGATGTATAATTATTATATTTTTGAATTTTGATTTCCTTCTGGAACTGATTGAATTAAAAATATATGCAGTAAAAATATAATAAATACACAAAAATGCTGTTTCTGGAACCCACTACCAGCTTTAAAAAGCCTGAAACGTAGCAAATACTTGGGAGCTGTAAGGAAAGTTTGGTGAGGATGCAAGTCAGATTTTTTTTTTAACCACTGTTTAATAATTTGTAGGGGTTTTAGTTACTATTTTTAAAATTATAATTATAATAACTAGGAGGGTACCCCCTTTCTGCCTAATGGCGGACTTACCCCCATTTTACTAATTATACAACTGCTCATTTAATTGAATTACTGTATGTAAAATGAAATAATTGCTTCCAGTTTTCATGGTCAGATATTTTAAGGTAAAATTTTGAATGATAAAAAACATTTTTGTCTAAATGAGAAGACGACAAATAATTTTACAAATATAAGACAGATGTTATAATATGTATAAGAAATGTTTGGAAATGGCCAAGAGGTTGAAATGTTACAAATGTATGTGATAACAACTAAACAAAAGTTTTTTAATAATGATAAAGAAGTTTGTTAATTTATTTTTGTGATTTGAGATGAAAAATGAGTCAAAACACTTTTTAATTAACTGTTCAGAAAAAAATAAATTTGTTCACAAGATACAATATCTTAAATTTTATTTTACTATATGAAAATTCAATATTAATATTTAAATATAATTTTTATTCAATTTAAACATGTTGTTACAATGTGCCGTTTTTAATATAATTAATATATTTATATTTCATATTTCTGTATTATTAATAATTAATTTACAAATAATACTTTAAATTAGTTAAATAAATATGATAATTATTAATCATGTAAAATTACAATAAGCGTTTGATTTTAAACAATCACTTAATAAAGCCTAACTCACTCAATTTCAATTGGCTTTTAGTACCAGTGGCGCTCGAGAGAGTTTCGCAGGGATCTCCTGCAGTACTGCTTTTCACTCTATAGTTATAAGGACAAATTCTATTAGCTGATTGTAAATAGCATACATAGGTAAGGCTATGTATTTTGCTTTAGTTATTCTTAAATTTATTTTATTGTTATTTATTGTATATACATTTTGATTATTATTTTGCCTTTATTTCCTTATATTTTCTATAAATATGGTGTGAATGATTTATTTTTTCTCTATAAACATTATTCATGTTGTGACAGAATGTTATATTACTCAATAAAATAATAAAAATAATAAAGCCCAAACACGAAGGTCCTCAGGTAAAGAGAATTCGAGGCTCGAGATTGGTCGTTTAGATAATCAAAAAGGAAGACAAAAAAAAAAACCACTGCTTATTGAATACAAACTTGATTGAATATATATTTTTTAGAATATACTTAATATTATCATTAAAACATTAATTTTTTTTAATTCAGGTTATTTTTGCCTGATTATCGGGCAATTAAAGAAATAATGGTTTTTAAAAACTGAAATTAAAATAACCAGTTTTCGGTTTAATCAGTCAGTTATTCTTTGGTGCATTAGTGAATGCGTGGTTGATTTTCATGCAAAATAGATAAACCCACAAAATCTTGGGCAAAATTAAATTCTGTTCAAAGAATAATAGTCCTGCTAATATTCATTACTCATTATTTTAGATGAGTGTTATTCATTTCTCCTTCTGTGTTTCCATAAGAGAACATTCCTTGACTAAATCATACCAGGGCAGCTGCTTGAACTGGTCAGCATTAGGTATGATAATGTGGTTAATTATCAGCTGTAAGAGTTTTGCTCCTGTCCTGGAAGGCATCATTCTAGAACAGAACAATCAATAAAATAAACTATGTAAACAATAACACTGAATGTTTTCAGAGTGTTAATTCTACATTGAATTTTAAAGTGCAATAATTGCCTTTTTTTGTATTACTATGACAAAAAAAGTGGTGCAGTTTTTTGTGAATCACACAACATTCACTTACTATCCAATTTTGGGAAGAAATTGGAGAAACTAAAAGTATCAGATAGAGTATATAAAATTAGTATATAATAGTAGATAAAAGTATATATTTATTTATATATGGTGCAATATATTACTTTAAAACATTTATTCACTCTTCATTTTTCCCACGTGTCTCTTTAAATTTATTCATTTTTTGTCTCTCTTCACTTCCTTCTAAGATTATAATTTTGTTATTTATTTAATTATCACAGAGCCACAATTTTAGTTAGTCCGACAAGAAAACCAGTGATAAAGTTGTCCACTAAATTTATTTATATTTCATTGTATTTTTAATTATTGAAGTATGGGTATTCATACAAATTTTAATTTTTATATTGCCATATCATACATAACTAACTATTAATTAATACCATTAATGAAAATCTCACATGTTTATGTATACAATTATTATTATCAAAGTCTCAACATTCCGCATCTATCATTAATTTAAGTATAATTAATCACTAATCAATAGCAATAACTATTTATAGGATTTCGCAACATCTGGTTTTTTGAGTGTTTCATATTTTTTATTTTTATAATCTTCCTTAATTTGTGTTTTTTTTTTAATCAGGAGTACTATTTTTTTAAGGGATATATTATAATTACTTACTCTGTTATTAAAAGAAGTGGATACTTGATGTAGGAAGGCACTGGCACTTCATCATAGTTGTAATGGATAGCATTCATCGTTGCTCTCACAACTTCTTCCATTTCTATGCACATAGTTACTCTGAAACATTGTATCTTCATAATCAAACAATATTCAATCTTAGTATTAAGATAATTCATAAAAATATATTTTGATATTTATTTAAATAATAAATCTGGAAAATTTTGTATCATTTCTGGAAATAATTCAATCTTTAGTAGGATGTCAAAGAGTTATTATTTAATAAATTCATTTTACGAGTTTAAACTCACTCCGAACAAGGCTGAAACGGTCAGAAATATTTTTGAAGACAAGATGATGGTAGTGTTATTGAGTGTGCTGTTCAATGATGGTTTAAAAAAATCGGGAGAGAAATTTCAGCCAGATGATCATGGAAGGTCATGTTCCCTTTATGAAGATGTTCAGGGCACTATATTCTAAGAAAATCTCATTGCTTATCACCTCAATGCAATTGGAAAGGAACCATCCTAAAACATCATTATCAAGGAAAGAAGTCCTCCTAGACTAGGAGCTACCGACTGTTTCATGTAACGGAAGGGCTTGTAGCTAGTAACCATTTTAAATCATAGATAAACCTCGTCTGAACACACTATTTCGGTCAGGCTAAAGCTAAAGCTATGTAATTTGTTTATGCATACTAATATGTTGTAAATATAACACTTAAGTTGAGAGCGGCAGATGCTACAAATGAAATATGCGCTTTAACTGCAGCTTAATCCACTCACATATTAACGTGTCTACATGAGATAAATATGAAATTTAATGCTCTTTCAAATTAATTATAATAAATTTCTTTGAGAAATGCATAGATTATGGTTTTTGGGAGGATGAAAACAGATATTTTTTGTGAAATAAGCAAACAGTCAAAATTCTCTAACTCCTCATCCGTTGAGCCTACATCAAAAAGCTATGCATAAAATTGATAATAAATTTTATCTTCTTTAACTTTGTTCATAATAATAATTTTGATAAAATGCATAGTTTCGGAGTCATGTCCCAAAAACAAACAAAAAAAAAAAAAAAAATTGGATATTTTGCTATTATTTGCATATATCTCGGAATGAAATGGAAAATTTCGTTCGGGAACATTCAATTCAGATTCAGCATCCCAAAAACCATAAAAAATTGAAGAGAAACCGACTATTTGAATTTTTTTCCTCATCAAACAACCATCTGACTGGCCTAATTTGATGACTATGACATTGTCAGTTTTCAAAAAGCAACCGAGTTCATCTTCAGTCAAGGTTAATTCACTTTTAGAAACATATTCTTGACATCTTATCAAAGTTTTCAGACGTATGTTCTATGGCTAAATGAACCGTCAAATTTTGTCTCTTTAATTCAAATTTTGGCATAGAAAGCAACGATTTTCAACTGCCTAACCGAAGTTGTGTGTTTTGAAGAGGTTTATCTAGAATTTAAAATGTAATTGCAAACGAATTTGAAATTTTTATTTTTCAGAAAATCGAATGACATTTTACTGGTTTTATGGGGTTATAATATTATTTCTTTTTTTAAATATTAATTTCTATTCACGCTTACACATATGCCTCATAGCCAATTTAATAAAAATCAAAATTATCTTTTGATAGTTATTTATTGCATGTTTCCGGAAATCTGTGTTCCGCTCTTCAGAAATATCTAATCCTCCCAAAAAAATTTACTAAGTCAATATAATATAATAAGATTGGTACAGTGCCTGATTTTTTGTAAACTGTCTGATGTACCAAACTCATTGTATAATATTGACTTACCCAATTTTTTTTGGGAGAACAAAATATTTTTAAAGAGGGATCTTCCTCTTTAGAAATAACTAACCAAAAGTAATTTTTATTTTTATAAAACTGACTTTGAGACATACACTTAAGTGTGAATAAAAATTATAATATAAAGTTCAAAATTTAAAAACTATGGAAAATAAAATATTATCAACAAAACAAAATCAAACCAAAAAAATGATTTGAGCTCTATCTTACATTGCACATACTTCTTTGTGATCCCAGGAAACCTCATGAAAATATGGAGAATTTTTGAAGATGGTTCACTTGCACAAAATTTCAACACCGAAAATGAAGCTTTTTTTGAGAATCACCCATATTTGAATCATTCCATTATCATCCGCAATGTGACCTGTAATCGCTTTATATTCTTTTACATTTTATTCTTTTTCTACATTAATAATTTCCTTTAGTAAAATTGCATTAGTAACTCTTTTTGTTGACATATTTTCAGCCTGTTCTAATCTATTAGAATAAAATAAAATATAACCAGGTACTAAATTAGTATTTTAGAAGAAAAATTTTAGACATGTTTTGTATTATTTAAGATTTTGTGCAATATAAACAGAATAACAAAGTAATTTAAATTTTATAATTTGGAATTGTATGTTAGTTTCATAGATTTCCATTTGATATGGCTAAATCATTAACCTCAAAGATAGGTTTAAAATGTATAAATAACATATTATTATTGAATTTGTTTGGTGACTCACTTTGCAGATACATATGATAAGTAATCTTCTGATGAATTCATGAATATTGGATGTACAGTTGTAATTACTATGTTGTCGTGGTTCTCCATTAGCAGTTCAGCACGTAGGCAGTTGCTTAAATCTAGAAAAAGTTAAGTTATAAAATATAAGTTATAAAAAAAAGAAGTTATAAAATCTCTAACATCTCATAACTTTTTTCCCTTAAATCTTTTTACTAAGAAATAATACATTTTGCCGCTCTTAAGAGCATTAAGTATTAGAACAAAATGAGGCACATTCATATCATATGTACAATACAATTTAAAAAAAAATTATAAAAAAGGTAAAAGCTGTAATAAAAACAAAAGCAATGTAATCAACTGAAATGAAATAAAATACAGAAAATCATAGAAAAAAAAATGAAATAAAAGAAATAAATAGATGAAAAAACACACATTCATACTTAATTACAATATTTACAATCATCCGAGGGAGCTCTGAGCCCACAATGGAGGTCAAGGACAGACTCTATGAGATCCCAGTTCTTCGGTCTCAGCTGCATCCTCAGTAGAGCTGAGTCCAATCAGCAGCTGAGTCCAGTAGAGACTGAGAGAGGGCACTAGAGCCACAGGCACTCATGACTTAAATGAAGAAGCTGGCCATTACCAGAATTATAATGATCTATTTATCAAACATCTCGAAGCCACTGCTGTTTCAACTTTCGAGGAGGATTAGAGCTGGATAAGGACTGAGGGATTACGATGGTGGATAAGGTTATGATGGAAATTTGAGAATCAGAATGAACTAATATCAAGAACATAAGGGATGTTAAAGTCATGAAGTAAGGTTTTATTTTTAATATAACAAGGAGAATTGACTATTATACGGAGGACCTTAGACTGGAAGGATTGGATACATTTAATGTTTGAAAATTTAGCTTCACAGCTCAAGTGCGTAGGTCCAGAAAGGAAGAGGTATAGAGTTGGAAAGGATCAGGGGACAGAATTTGTGTCGGAAAGTGAAGGTGTCATGTTTGCATTTACATATCATAGCTAGTGAAGTATTAACTCAAGGGAATTACTAACAATAAGATATATCTAATACAATGGTTTGTTGAGCACATCTTAATATATGGTTTGTCAATTTTTTTTTTTTTTTGTTTCAATGCCAGAGTTAAAAAAGCCTTTTCGGCATTGGTACACAAACTTGTAATTATTTTATCATATCTGTCCTATTATCTGTTTATCTGGTTGCCGACAACGGTATTGCTGAGCACACGTATTAGCCCACTAGGGCAACCCAGCCCTCCACCCCTCCCACCCATAACTGATATGACAAAATTATTAATTACCTGCCATAGCCTGACCAGAACTCGAAACCTGCAGTATAGGAGCACAATGCCTTACTCAGTGACCTCCCTCCCATCAAATTCTTTCCGCTCCGCTTTTTTCTACTTATAAATCTCTCTCTCTCTCTCTCTCTCTCTCTCATCTCTCTCTCTCTATATATATATATAATATATATATATATATATATATATATATATATATATATATATATATGTATATATATAATATATGTATATATATATATGGGGCAGGAGTAGCCGTGCAGGCTAGGGCGCTTCCAATCCACCAGGGAAAGCCACGCTGACCGAGATTCTCCTCCCCCCCCCACCATCCAGGGTATGTGAGGCCCGTCAGCCTACTGGAGGTGACTCACACCGTCCGGGTCTAGGATTGATGATCCTACTCTGTACTTAAATTGGGAATCGGAATGTGGTAGAGGAGACCATCTTCATGGTCTGTAGCGCCAACCAACCAAAAAAAAAAAAAAATATATATATATATATACATATACATACATATATATTTATAAATGGTTGAATACATAAATAGATGAACTCACAAGTCATAGCTGATTTGGTTGCCCCATATACCATCATAGGGGGCAACACCATCATGGTGGCTACAGAGGCGATATTGACGATGTGTCCTTCATTTCTTAATTTCATAGTTGGCAGAACTGCATTCATTAGCTGAAAAACAAACATAAAATTAATTATGAAATACTGGTTAATAATCTAATTATAAAAAAAAGTATTTTAATCCATTGTCCTAATTTTATAATTTATCTTGTGCGTCTTCAGTTATTTATTTTTTTTATCAGTTAGTATATTCATCTTTTTGTCTGTTCTTTCAATCTATTCTATTATATAATTTTTAATATTATACTAGGACCATCTAGTGATCTAAATTCGATCAGAATTTCAGCTTTAAAATTTTTTTTTTATTATTAAAAACTTTTATTCTTAAAAAAATGATAAAATAATACCCATAAAAAAAATATCACAAATGCATGAAAATAACCCTATCCATCCTGGGAGAATAAATATACTTGCATATCTATATAAACACATTGGTGGACAGCTGACGTCTATGAATATTAGAATTTGGTGAAGTACAGGGTTGCCCAGTAGGGTTTTTACTTTTTCTAAGATATACATGAAATATGTAGTAAGGAAATTATTGTGATCGTATTATGTTAGTGCCAGGGTTGATTCCGCTATGGAAAGTCTACAATAGACCATATCTCTTCTCCATGATAATTAATAATAATAATAAGGCTTAGCGAACCCGAAGGTTCGATGCCGACACAACCAATCGCTTGTTACACACCTCCCTCCACCGTTCGCCGTCCAAACCCAGTCCCTTCAGATCGGCTTTAATGAAATCTTCCCACCTTCGCTTCGGTCTACCCCTTGGACGCTTACCATTCGGCACAGCAAATATTAACCTTTTAAGAATTCTCTCGTTACTAAGCCCAACAACTTTACAAGCCCATATGATTCGCCGCGATGAAATTACCTCAATTATATTACCCGGATACAGCTCTCGCAATTCGGCGTTGTGTAACCGTCTGAACTCTCCGGTTAACTCATCCTTCTTCGGTCCGAATATTCTACGCAATACTTTATTTTCAAAACCTTAAGACGCTGCTCATCCCTTAATTTAAGCGGCCAAGTTTCGCATCCATAAAGAACTGTAGGCAAGATAATTGTTTTATAGATTCTAATTTTTAAGTTTCGGGACAACAGACGCGAACTAAGTAGTTTTGTCACAGAAAAATAACAAGCATTCCCCGCCTTCAGTCTAACCTTAATCTCTTCTTCAATTTCGTTTTTTCTAGTTATCGTAGAACCTAGATACCTAAATTTATCTACCTGTTCAAACATATAACCATCTATATCGATATCACCAGTAGTACCATTTTTGCAGCTAACCATATATTTTGTTTTATCCACGTTTATTTCGAGTCCTAGTTCTTTACCGGCTTTCATTAACGTTGTCGTATTTAGTTTTATAGTTTCAACGTCTTCGCTTAACAGTACCAGATCGTCAGCATAGCCCAGCACGGATGTTGTCCCGCCCAGATCCAACCCTTTCTCGGTTCGCATTACCTCCCTAATGGCATGTTCTAATGCCAAATTGAACAGGACAGGCGAAAGAGAATCCCCCTGTTTTAAGCCCGAACGAACCTCAAATTTGTCGGACAAATTATTACCGATTCTAACTTTATTGAGTGTCTCCGTCAAGCACATCCTGACTAGATTTACTAGTTTTTTTGGAATCCCCTGCTCGATTAGAATATTATACAGTTTCTGGCGGTCAATAGAATCGTAAGCCTTTTTAAAATCTATATACAGCTGGTGAACAATACCGTTATACTCCAATTTTTTCTCTAATATTTGCCGTAAAGAAAATATTTGATCAATAGTCGAACGATTCCGTCTAAATCCGCATTGGTAGTCTCCGATAATTTCCTCAGCGTATTCCGTGATTCGACAGGTTAAGATTAATCACTTTGAAGTGAATTCTCCATGATAATTAGGCTCGAAAAATGCCACGAGTGGAATGTCGATCAACACCACTTTTTTTATTGATTACAGATAAGCCTATGACGGTATAGAGAGAAATTTAATGTTTCAAAAATTGAAAGATTTGGGATTTCAGCAGAAGTTTATCAGACTTCTTAAGATGATCTTCCAGGACAGCAAAGGTGTAAACATTCAAGGAGAATTTGGAAAGAATTGGAAATTTAGGAAGGTGTAAAACAGGGAGATCCTCTATCCCCACTACTGTTCAATTTGGTATTAGAAGTATTCATGTGATCGGTCCACACAAGTCAGTAGGATGTATATATCACAGAATGACTCAACATCTAGGCGTTTGCGGATGACGTAGTTTTTACAGGAAGGACATCCAATGCAATCTTAGGAGTGTGAAGAAGCTACATGGAAAGTAGGACCAGCTATAAATAAAGGGAAAACTAAACACATGTTAACAACGAATATTGAAGATGTAAGGAATTGCCTAATACTAATGGAAGTGGTGAGTGACTTCGTTTTTACATTACATAAGCCTCCCTCATGGCCTTATCGGTCCACTGAAAAATTAATTCGTACTTTGCCACTTGTTCAACTCAATCAGTTTTTTTTTCTTATTTTCTCTAGCAGTTAGTTTATTACCTTAACAGAGGGTGATGAAAGGCACTAGATACATCGAGAGGGCCGGATATCGTTTCAAAAGAGTACCACAATTTAGATATCTTGTTTCAATTATTACTGAGAATAATAAAATAAAAGAAGACATTTTTATTTTTATTTTATTTTAATGAAATTTACAACTGTATTACATAGAAAATACAACAAGTGAATGTGACATTGGTAACATGGCATGTACAACATGAAGAGAAACTACCCATTGGTAGAACTCAAATTAAAGTTCTATATTAGAAGGTCCCGAGGCCATCTTCTTTTCAGACGCCTCGGAGGGTTATCAGGGATCGTGGAGGAAGCAAGGTTTGAAAGGAGAGGATTCGGATGGTTCTGCAGTTTGTTATGGAAGGATAGGTATCTGGATTGGGCTAAATCGGAAACATATGGAACATTAAGGTCTTTATGGATGATGTTATTTGTGACAAAGTAAGGAGTGTTGAGGATTTTACGAAGGATTTTGGATTTTAAGGGCTGGATACGAGAGGAATTCGATGGTTTAGTGGAGCCTCAAAGCTCAATTCCGTAAGTCAAAATAGGTCTTATTATTGTCATATATTTGAGTCGTTTGTAATTTTGATTGAAAGCTTAGAGCGTTTGTCTAGTAAGTGCTACAATAGTCGAAAACGTCGGGCGGTTTCTAGTAATTTCAGTCTGGTATGGGGGTTCCAAGTGAGTCGGTTGTCAAGGTGGAGTCCTAAGTATCGGATTTGTTCGACAGGAATAAGAGGGCTATTGTTGAAGGATACCGTAGGACAGGAAGTCATAGGTTTACGACGAAGAGTGGAGCTAATTTGATGGGATTTATTGGAATTTATTTTAATCCTCCAGTTTTGACACTATTTTTCAAGACTTGTGATGTGTGATTGAAGAGTTTGGGATGCAATAGATGGATCGTTATTAACTGATAGGATACACGTGTCATCGGCATAGGTGGTGATGACAGTGTTGGAAAAGGAAGAAATAAAGCTAAAGATAACATTTAGTAATATTGATCCCTAAAAAAAATTTCTCGAAATCGAGAAGTGCTCTATCGAACTACCAATTGAATGGTAAACTACGAGCTCTCAAAATAAGAGTATACAAGACAGTCCTGCAATCAGTTGTTATATATGGAAGCGAGCTCTGGACGGACACCCACACTCAACGAAGAGGTGGGAAAGAAAAATTCTAGGTAAAATCTATGGTCCAATCAAAGAAGGAGATTTTTGACGAATGAAGAGCTGAAGAAGCTGTATAATGCCCCAGACATCACATCCACCATAAAGAAGGGAAGGATAAGATGGTTGGGTAATGTGCAAAGAATGGAACATAGCAAGCACAATAAAATGATGATGGAGGAACAATCCAGGTGAAAGAAGAAAAAGAAGTAGGCCTACACTTCTTGGGATGGAAGATGACGAAAGCGATCTTAGGAGCCGGGTGTGGTAGGATGGAGAGGGGTGGCTGGGGACAGGTCGGTTTGGAGGAAGGTTGTAGAGGAGACAAGGGGTTTACAAGTTAAGTTATTTTTTATTTATTTATTATTTATACTTTTTGATTATTATTTTATATTTTCTGTACTGTGTTCTCTATAATGTGAATGTGGTCTTACCTCACTATAATTATTATCTATGATAGAATATTAAGTTACCTAATAAAAATATAAATACAAATAGTTTCTGCACAGTGTTGTGTTACTTGTTCTATTGGGCATAAAATTTTTAGTAGCATTGTTTAGAATCATTTAAATATCATTATATGTAACGATAGTTACCCAAGTTGGCCCGAAGACATTAGTGTTGAAGGTAGCTCTCAAAAAATCTTCTTGGAATCCATACGTGTTGACCACAATGGCGGCGTTGTTGATCAACAGGAAAATTGGTCCCAGGTCTTTCTCTATTCGAGAGACAAGATTTTCAACATCTTTTCTAAAAGAGAAACACATGATTTAAAATGATCAAATAATCTTAGTGAAGGTGTACGTTTTATAAATTTAAATTCACGTAGAGTATTTTCTTTTCATCTTGTCCAATTATCTGATCAAGGGTACCACATCAGGAAGTGGGGTGTTTTTCGCCTAATAAACTAAGGACTGGTATCACCACCAGATTCAGTTTTTGGCAGAAAGTTAAGTTAACATAATAGACAATGATGGCGGATATTTTGATATTAAACCTACGACTGTATTAAGTGTATTAACCAGTGTATGTGAGATTGTTATTTACCAGCTTTCTTTTGTGTTTATTATTGTTTCATGTTTTTCGTTCTTGTTCATTATGCCTTAGTTTCGTTCGTTTTGTTGTTTTTATGTACATTTTTAGTTTTTGTGTTTTTATTTTAAAGTGTAAATAGACTTGAACTTTGTAGGTTAGGTTGAACTTGTGTTGTATAGTGCAAAGCGACTTAGTCTTGATTTGCCTTGCGGTGCTTGCTAGTTATAAGGTAAGTACTGCTATATAAAAGTTTCCTTTAGACGCACAAAGACATTTTGAAACGAAAACGTAATTATAGTGGAAGGTTATACAGGTTAGTGAAATTTTCTACTTTAATAAGACTATTACCGTTGTATTGTTTATTAAACCAGTGAGATGGAAGATTCGGAATCTCCTACCAACCTTACCCGTACTGCTAAAAGAGCTCGAAATGGTTCTCCTGACGTTAGTAAAAATGCAAAAGATGGCAAAGCAAATACGCTAGTTAGTGATGCTAGACGAATCCAGGAGAGTCTCCGGGCTTATTTAAAGCGGAACGATAAAAAATCCGTTGGGTCAATTCGTAATCATATTAGCAACAAAATACAATGTCTTGTTGATATGATAGAAACCCTTGAAGACGGAAGAAAAGATGGAAGTGTTTCATCTTTTGTAGAAAAGGCGATTAACGAGACACTTCTGTCACAGAAGGTACGTGATATGCTTACACAAATTATAATTGAGGCCTCTGTGCCGAAAGTAATTGAGGCTCTTTCAGCTACGAGTAATATATCTCAGCTTAAGCACATTTATCCTGGGTCCTCTAGAGAGCTGCAATCTACAGCTAGTGAACCTATTGGAGAGAGCTCCAGAGAGGTAGAGCAACAAATGCCAAGAGGAGATATTGACCAAGCTTTGTCTTTGGCAAACACAAGGCCTTTCGAGACAGTGGTGAGTAAACGAAATAAGAGAAAAGCAAAAGCAGCTGCTAAAAGTGAAGATGATAGCTCGAAGGAACCGAAATCAAATGAGAAGAAACCTAAAAGTATGGCAGAGATTGTAAAATCACTGCCAAAGAAACCCACTCAGACTCTGAGACCAACTTACATCACCATAAGTGGGACTGGAAAGAGTCCTGTTGATATTATAAATGGGCTACCGTCACCAAAAGAAATAGGTGTAAATGCTGCAATAGTCCGTGCGACCAAGGCAGGTTCTGTCTTGGTTCGTATGGACGACATCAATGATGCCACGAAAGTGATTGGATGGCAGGGATTGCGGGACCATGGCCTGCAAGCCAAGTTAGCTCTGAAGAAAAAACCCAGGCTGGAAATAAGGGGTGTTCCTCACACATGGAATTCAGCTGAGTTGGCAAGATTTTTATGGGAACGATTACCCGAGAAGTCGGGCCCCACTCCGCTGATCATGGATGACCTGCGGCCACTATTCTCTTCAGTGGCCAGAAACGGGTTTACTAAAAATTGGGTACTAGAGGTGCATCCAACAGTCAGGTTCTTGCTTCTCGAAATAGGAAGCCTAGACGGAGGATGGTGGACCATAACCTTTAAAGATTACGTCGATGCTCCTCGATGCAGTAGATGTCAGGGCTACGGTCACACCAAGGCCACGTGCACAGTAGATGCAGTAGTCTGCATTTGGTGTTCAGCTAGTGGCCATGTAATTAAAGAGTGTCCAAAGAAAAGAGAACAGGCTAGCCCAACCTGCATAAATTGTGCGAGGGCAAATGCTCCCGTTGTTCAAAGAAAACACAAGGCGGGTAGCAGGGAATGCCCTGTGCATCTACAGTGGGCCAAAGAGGTAGCTAAAAGAACCTTCTATGAGTAAGCTTACCATCTTCCAGCTCAACATGGGCCGCCGACACATTGTGGCAGATGAACTTCGTGTTCTCTCCCAACGATACGACATAATGGCGGTCCAAGAACCGAGCTGCCGTGGGAACATAGTCACGGGGTTTGGCCTTACATCGAGGGTTATCGCCTTGAGCAGTGGAGAGAGGAGGCCCAGGGCTGCTATAGTGGTTAATAACCCAAACCTCGATGTGATGGATCTGAGGCAACATACTATGGCGGATTCCGTCGCTTGCTATTTCAAGTGGGGTAATGTAGCTTTTACGTTAGTATCAGCCTACCTACCTGATAGCAACGATATTGACGAAGACATATCCGCTATGGAGATGATCACGGCTACCACCAGAAATGTGATCATATGCTCAGATACCAACTCCTGGAACACGGTCTGGGGATCCAATCAAACGAATAGAAGAGGCGCAAAGCTAGGCGAATTTATTTCGCGGAACCAGTTAGTAGTATTAAACAATCCCTCTGCTACCCCTACGTTCTCTAGCGCTAGGGGGCAGAGTTGGATTGACGTTACACTTGCAACGCCATTAATAGCCAATCGCATCGTTGATTGGACCCTCCGATCTGAGACGAGTTCCGACCACCAAGCGATATCCTTCAGGCTGGTGGAAAATTCAGAAAGTTCCCACGGTACTGCCAAGGGTTATCTAACCCGAAGGGCAGATTGGAATGCCTTCCGGTCGACGCTGGAGGGAAAATTGGTAGATGATGAATGGGATGAAGCGGAAATAGAACAGACTGATGACCTGGATTACAGGGTGTCTAGGATCACTAATATTGTCTGTGATGCCGCTGAGGAATCCCTTCAGCACCGGAAGGCGAAAGCTCGACCTGTTCCATGGTGGACGCCGGCCTTAACAAACCTTAAGAGAGAGCTCTACAAGGCACGGCGGTTGTATCAGAGGTGTAGTTGCGACGAGAGGCGCTCTACACTCCGTGATCAGTACAAGTCCAAGGCCCGGGTGTACCGAAACGAGGTGCGTTCACAGAAGAAAAAGTCCTGGGATGAGTTCATTGTTGAAGAGTCCACGAAGAATCCCTGGGGTATTCCTTATAGGGTAGCCATGGGGAAGTTTAGTACGCAGCAAACATTGGCAGCCCTCAAGCACGGAGACGTTCAGGCAACCAACTTCGAGGAGGCAGCCGAAATCTTCATTGCGAGGACGTACCCCAGGGATGATCCGTCTCAAGACAGCGATGAGGAAAACTTCGTGAGACGCACCACGGCATACCCACCGGATACGGACTTGTGCCCACGATGGGACATATATGATCTCCGTATTGCTGTGGATAAGCAGAAAATCGGTCGTGCTCCAGGACTCGATGCTATAGATGCGGCGATCCTAAAGAGTAGTATTCCCTACATTGATGAGAGACTTTTGGGAATATATAATGATTGTCTGGAGAGGGGATACTTTCCCAAAACCTGGAAGATCGCCGATTTGAGACTCCTCTACAAGGGAGGGAATAGGGATAAACAGCTCCCCAAGTCCTATAGACCAATATGCCTCCTCCCTGTGATGAGCAAGGTCCTGGAGAACCTTATCATGACCAGTCTAGCACCAGTTCTTGCCAGAGCAAGTCATCCACGGCAATACGGCTCCACTAAGGGGAAGGGAACCGCTGATGCCCTGCTGAGAGTACGTGAAGACGTTGAACTGAGGACGGAGCGGTATGTCATGTTGATGCTATTCGACATATCCTCCGCCTTCGACAGCGTCTGGTGGCCTCTTGTGCTCCAGCAGCTGCAGAAATATGATGCTCCCAGTAACTTATATGCCTTGATAAGAAGCTACTTACAGGATAGACGTGTTAAGGTTCATGGCAGTTCTTATGAGACTGAAGCTTTCATAGAGAGGGGATGTCCTCAAGGATCGGTACTTGGTCCAGCTTTATGGAAGCTCGTTTTTGATGAGTTATTGGGAGTGTTAGAAGAACAGCGGTTCCCTGCCACTGGATACGTTGACGATTTGGCAGTAGTGGTGGCCTCCAATAGCATAGCCGGCTTAAGACAAGAAGCGGAACGATGCGCCAACTTGGTCGGAGAATGGTGCGAGAGGAAAAAGTTATCAATGGCCGCTTCAAAGACTCATACAATTGTCATGAAAGGGAAAACTGACAGGGCTCACCCTATTAACATAACGGTTCAAGGTTCGAGAATACGTCCAAGTGAGGTGGTCACTTATCTAGGCGTAAAATTTGGGAAAAAATTCAGCGTTACCCCTCACTTGGACTATCTTAAAAACAGGGTGGCCCTATCTTTGAACGGTCTCAGTCGGGTTGGGGGCGCTTTCTGGGGCCTCAGATACCCAGCAACCTTAACAATTTATAAGGGAGTGATTCTGGGTATCATGAGGTACGCGTCTCCCGCCTGGAACCAGAACCTCTCGCACCGACAGAAGAGTAAGTTGGCGACAATACAGCGAACGGCATTGTTGCGGGTCACCAGGTCGTATCGAAGCGTATCCCATGAGGCGGTGCAGGTATTAGCAGGAGGGGTACCTCTCGACCTTCTCCTGCGAGAAGATATGATGAGGCACATATTTAAGAAAAACGGCTCAGCAGGTCTACCGGAACATCTTAAGGTGAGAATTGACGAGAATCCTTGCAAATGGAAAAACATTATAGGGGACGACACATTGGAGGAATGGAACCGGCGATGGGTGATAACCCCCAAAGGATCTACCTTGAGGAAGTACTTCCCCACCGTCCGGTCACGTTTAAAAGCAAGGTGGATCGTCCCAGACTATTGGATCTCGCAATTTCTCACAGGCCATGGGGGCTTTCGAGCAAAGCTTCATTGCCATGGGATGGACATCGACCCCCTATGCCCTAGCTGCGGTGTTCCGGAGACTG